ATGTTATCTCTTAACCTCCAAAAGCCATAATTACCCCAAACTTATTTGAACAAGCAATTGCATTTTAAGTTAGAAATTTGTATACTTATGCAAATTAATCTTTACAGTCAAATCAGCATGCACCAACATGGTCCTACTGGGAGTACAAATTGTAAAAGTGCAGTATACAACACAAGATAAACACTATAATGTAAATTAGTAAGACCCTTTCCTTTTCTGTGAATGTAAGATGAATGAATCACAAAACCTCATTTACGGTACTCTTTCAATCAGTTTTTCACACTTCTATACTCACAATGAGGTGAGATCTCATTGCCAAAAATAGTTTTCAGTACCCAATACAATTTCTTGTGTAAAAAGCTTTAAGGGTTAAACTATTTTAAAATACATTTAAGGACTATTTTTCTGCACTGTTGCCAAAACTTTTATATAAAACATGTGTGCCTACAGCTATGAGACAAATGTGCTGGTCCTAAAGCATGTGTTTTCTAGTACTTTTCAATGCATTCACTGGTATAAGAAACAATGAATCAAAGCAAAAAATTACTAACAAAACCATTGTTCTTACAAAAATTTAATTAAGCCTATATTTCTCTAGAGCACATAATTATTCATAAAAGGAACAAGTCTTTTCTGCTTTCCAATTTTCTTTTCCACTATAAATTCTAAATAATAAATAATATAGTTACAAAGCCATTATAAATTATTCAATCACAATCTCATATAAATTATCCTGAACTTTTAATAATTAGACACAGATTTGGCTAAGAGAAGCCTCTAATCAGACATCAAAATCTGCCAGAATTCAGGAAATACCACCAACAGTTTGAAATATGAAAAAATACATAAAAAGAGGAAAAAATTGGGCAATGAAAATTTTAAAATCTGTCCATGCTCAGGTAGTTCTTTTAGCATCTTGTTGCCTACCTTTTCAGGATTTATATTAGCCATTTGGCTCATAATGCTGACAAGGGAATTTCCTTAGTAAGGCACTTATGACGCGGGGGTAGGGGTGGGTGGGACAAAGACGGAGAGCTACAGTATGGGTGGGATGGGCAAAGCATCATTTTGCTCTAGATGCTTGAGCACATTTGTACGAGGGGGGTCACCCTGGTCACTCCACCACACCAATTTCCCTCTAGAAATATGAAGAGGTGGCTGTCAGATGACTGGTCATAGGGGCAGGGAAGGGATATGGGTCTAAGACTGTATATAGGCCTTCTACTTTTGGGTTTAAAAAATAGACCAGTGTATTCTCATTCTCCTTTTTCAACAGCTGAATATCATGTTGCTTTTTCAAAAGCTTATCTAAAATTGTTTCATTAATCTGTCACCATAAACATTTCTCTTGAAACAAAATCAAATGCTTTGTTTTCTAAAATCAGTTGAATCTTAAAACAGTCTGCCACCAGAAAAATATCAAAACAATTAAAACAAAGAAAAATTACATAAAATAAAAATAAAAATTACATAAAAAATCATAATGGGGTAAAAACAGAGACAAAAAAATAATTTAAAAAAATAAATAAAAAATATAAATACTGATGCTTTTCCTAATGCAAATCACTAGTGTTGTCAAACTGATCATCTGGCACAAGTCCAATCTGACAAGACACAACAACTAACATACACTAACACTATAAACTAGTGTAGCAATAATGCTTCTTAATTTGGGGCACTCATATTCTTGCATCCTTTTGCTGTTATAAAGTGTTGTTGGCAATCTTGCTGGTAAAGTTGAAATTCTATTAGTTACATATCTTAGCTAAGAATGCTTGTAAAAATGTAACAATCAACCATTTGATAATGGAGTCTATTACAAGAACTGTTCCTAAAGAACAAAGCTTTATCCCTTTAACTGAGAGTTGTTAGGTTCTTATAGTAGTTACCATACATAAAGGAAACAATAAAGCCAATAAAAATACAAATTTGGCAAAGGAAAAATCCTAGTAGGAAATAAAATCTGTAATTATCTGCATATATTTACTCTTTACTTAAACAAAAATATCAAGAACCTTTTCTTAAATCAGGCTAATTTAGACCTTAAGTTTCTATGTCCATGCAACTACTATAAAATTAACTCAGTCTAGGGTCAACACGGACACAACACAATACAGGCTCAAATTCTAAAACATGCTATCAGGATTTTTTTCCATCACTCATCTTCCAGTAATAATGCCTGTTCCTCTTTGTATGGAAGAATTTTCTTATACCATAAAACTGCAAATTCTAATTAGCTCTGGTAATTAGGTTTCTTGCATATGTTTCATAATTTGAGCCATTAAAAAGAAGCAGAAATCATTGCTAAATCAATGTAATAGAAAATATATTAATATATAATATCTGGAATATATTACATCCATTCCCTAAAACTTGCTTGCAAAAAATATGCTAAAAGTTACAAGTAGTAAAACTAAATCTAAGACATATACTGTGTCTATGTCAATTATTAAAATTTATATACTTTTAAGTTGCCAGGTGATGTTGGTGCTCTCCTTTATGATAAAATTCAAGTCATCACTATAGAGGTAAAAAAAGGTGAGCTACATCATGTTTACATACTTATTTACTGGGGCAGTACAATTAGTAAATCACTTGTTTCTGAGACAATATTTCTCACAAACACTGAGATTTAAATAAACCATCAAATATTTGTTATTGAACTAATAAAGACCACATACAGAAACATTCTAGGCCAAGTTCATAACTGGTGAAGAGCATTTCAACTGTTTTCTATATAGCTAAAATTTAGTATCCTGATGTTCGGAACCTCTATTATATATAGATATTCAAAACATTAATAATTTGTACTATGAATCTGAATTATTATACACGATTGATTGAAGAACAGCAACTTGCATTCTGCACATTATCAACTGTACAAAAGTTCTATTATTTTTTTTTTAGTTTTTCCAAAATTACCAAATCACTCCTGTAGTAAAGTTTCTCCTGAAAATCACCTACCTGGCAATTTTTTGGTTCTGAAGGATGCATTTGTGATGAAAGATTTTGAAAGTGGTGCTGTTGTAGTCAATGGTGTGAGAGCAACACTAATACCCATTGGTCCATCACTTGGTTGGCCTATGAAAAAAAGTAAGGGGGACAAAGACTCATTATAATAGCAAAACATTTTCCAATGCAAGTCTAAGATAGCATCATATCTTCCAGAAGGTGTAATTTCAAATCATGTGATTACTTACCACTAGGATTCACTTTGAGGGAATTTTTGATGGCATTTGTCATCAGAAGAACATCACCAAACAGTTCATATTGTGCCCTCATGTGCAAATCCTCCAGGGCTTGTATGCCTAAACTTGCAAATTCATTGAACCTGGAAAAAGTTGATACAGTTTCACATCACATCAGGTACCATTATCTTTGCTTGATACATTCAATATGGAAAGACTGGGAATAAATAGAACATCTAAGTTCACATAATAAAAAAGGCAGCCTTCAGTAGACAACAGAGGTCTTCAATAGCCTATGACAGAATCAAGCTTAAAAATAAGAGAGAATGGGAAGAAGATGAAGAAAAAGAGATGAAAAAAGAGAGGAAACGGTCATTTCATTCTTATTTATTCATGATCACCATCACAACCTTGTGCAAAGCACTTACTTCCAAACATTATACAATATGCATGAATCAAAAAAGGTTTTTTATCCATGCATTACCTACAAATCAAATCTTAATCAGACTAAGGAGAAAGGGGACACAAGTATTCTCTTTACGATAATGTTTTATCTGGTGAAAACAGACAAGGTAAAAGATAAAGAAAAAAAGAAAAGAAAAGAGGGAAAACAATTTTTTTCTAATCAGTGAATTCCTGGACAATCAGGTTTATGAACAGAGGATGTGACAGTAACTACATTCACTACATTTAGCTCAATTACTCCCCAGTAGTCCACTGTAGGTATATGTGGTGCTACACTACCCTGTGGTGAAGAAATAAAAAATCAAAATGAGAAGCTGTCCAGTGCCAGCACCCAGCCAGCTGCAACAAAGGGACAATTCAAATCATCAGTTAATATGTGGCTTATTTTATTTTTGTTTTAATCACCCTTCAATCCCAAGCTGACCCATGCTGACCAGATGCTGCATCTTATGTCCTGATGGAACAGTTGAGAGAAATGCTTACTTTGGGATATTAACAAGCATTCTCAACTCTTGCCATCACAAAAAAAATTTAAATACAAATTAGATCATTATATTTATTGCACTGTAAATTCTACTAAAATAATGATTTATGACATTGGGACTTAAGTGCATCTGTGTATGTGAACACTGCATAATGGAATGAAACAAAATAAAAATGAGAATACATATATGGAAAACAAATCTAAAATCTTGGCCAATGTTGGACATGAGTTGTTCACATGTACATTACAGGGGTTCATCATGTTGGTGAAATGATGTACAAGCATACCATCTCCCAAGGGATTGTGGCAGCACTGCACTGTCTGTGTACATAAAATCATACAAGTATATAAAAATGTACCACCACCCTTCATGCATCCTTGCAGCTCAATATAACTGAAGGAATGAGCGCATGGCAAGCACCAACAAAGCTGGTATTTAATGACACTACCTGCGCAGTTTGACATGAGGGCTATGGTAACACTGTCCAGCACAATTCGGCATCATAGCTGGGCACTGTGTTCCTCCTCCTTTGGCAGCATTGTGGCTGTAAATGAATTAATGTTGGCATTTTTTTTTCCTGTTTATTTGTTAGGGTTGATAGGGACTATCAGGGATGGAAATCTATTTTCTTACCACTGTATTCTAAGGCAAGAGGAAGAGAAGGTTAATGCAAACAGCAGAAAGGGAACCCATACCAGACAGGATGACTGAAGCCCAATTAGCGGATAGGGTATCTCAACCACCGATTAATCCACTGACCTGCAGTGTGGTCAATGTCCCATCACCAAATACTAATTAAGTGGGGGATATATATAAGGGTCTTACCAAGTGGCTTAAAGTTTTCCTACAATTAGCTGATATACCTGAGATATGCTAAGAGTATCATAATGGAATCTGTCTGTTATCTAGAGAGTCAAACCATCTACAGATATCAATGTAGCATCATTTGTATTACATGTTTTTACTTCATTCCATTGCAACTTGTTGACATGAGTATATAATTAATACCTAGAAATTGTTGTCAACAAACAAATCACTTTGCACCATATCATCAAATAAACCAATGATTTTTCAATGCTGAAATAAACTATCTAACAAATTTGTGTTTGACTGTGATTGCAATAAACTAAAAAACAGTAGGTAGTTGCACTACCTTTACTTTTTAAAATCATCTACCTCTCAAAATAAAATAAAATAGCCTTGTATTTGTATTCTATTGTGCATACAGACTTTAATTCTTCACTTGGTAAGCCCTTTCCCTCTATGCAGGGTCAATGCAAAAGCTAGCATTCTGTATTTATGCTCATAGGCGTATGATGAGAGGCTTTCTTTAATTCAGAACTGCTCTCTACATGTACATTCACTTTATCATTTGCTACTGGTGCTAAAATGTGCTGGCACTACTTAAATTTTGAGAGTTCATTTTCTTTGTGCAATCTATTAACTCTCTTTATCACAATCTTTTTAAAGATATATTTAACAATATAAATATTATAATCAGCAGTAACATTTATAGATTTTTTTTTTCTAATACAAGTCAGTTCTCGACCATAATATTAAAGTGCATTCCACCTTGTTACATTACGAACATTACTTACTACAGCCTATCTTTTGGAATTATAAAACACATTAACCAACCGGCACTTTTGGCATCCATTCTTACCATGGCAAATTGTGATCCTAATGATGTTTGGCACTATAGCTTATCAGTCCCGCGCTATCTGCTTATCGGACGGAGATTTTTTATCTCCAACAATCATATGGCAACAATCATATGGCTAAATTTCATGGCACTGGCATGTAAAGTGAGGTTAAACCTTCACTTTTTAAAGGTGTTGAAAATGATAACCAAATAAAAGCTTTGAGGTACCTAATGTTGTCCGCAAACTACCGAACGAGCCAAGCGCAAACAGGGGAACTACCAATTGGCACCAACAATCCCGTCTTTTTGATTAGTGGCCGCACAGACAGGATCAAAAAGGCAACTGTAGTTTAACCCTTAAGCTACCACATGCCTCACTAGAGGTCTGCTTGGCAGTCTACAACATGCCTCTTCAGAGCCAGATATACAAATGAATGTAGCAAACATTTGAAATATTTTCACCATTTCTTCTCCCAGGCCCCCTCTATTATCCCTGACATTCTTCAACATCCTACAGCAAACCAAACCTTGTGTTATAACTGCTATATAGACAACTAAGCTCTGCTTGGGTTTTCAAAATGTTATATCTTGCTTATTTTTGGACATCTGTTTACTTTTAAAACTCAAATTGCAGAAAAATACATAATACTAGTCAAGAAGAACTGAAATTATTTTTGTTATACAAAAGCAGTTTTCAAGATTTTTTTTACTCCCATGTGGTTTTTCAACTCTTCTTCTACTGTAAAGGGTTAATTGTAACAACACAAAGAGGCAGATGCATGTGACTATGAGTCTAATGGCCAAGTGATCTGTGGGGGATTTTATTTGAAGAAAGGCAGTTTGGTTGAACATGTCTATCTAATCAATATTCCAGCTCATTTCTCTGTATGCCTAAATGCAAATATAATTTTTTTTTAAGGAAAAGAATAGTCACTCATCAGCACCATTTAATCAATAGCTGCCCTGCAATAAAGTAAGTGAAAGAGTAAAGTAAGGAGTTTTAGCAATAAGGTATGTTTTGTCTTTTCATAGGTAACAGCTTACAGGTTCTCCAGCCACTGCAGCTTCATGGAAAAAAAGACCAACAATCCTGAGTAATGGAAGGGTGGCTAAAAGTGCATGCTAATGAATTGGGGAAAATCAGGATATAAAAAGTTCAACGCACCTTGAGTAGTGGAAGTGTGAAAGTGGCATGCTAATGGACATGAGCGAGGGCAGGTCATGCAGACTTCGCTCAGCCGGTCTGCAATAACACAAGTATTGGCAGGTCATTCAAAGAGTCTGTGCAGAAGTGACAGCCTATTGGGGAAAGACGTCTGTGCGTCCATGCGCATGCTGAATTCCAGATATTAAATCAATTTGATACACAACTTCAAAACACACCTTTACTATTAAATAAAAACAAAGAAAGATTTATTCAAGCCTTAAAAATCCAAATATCAAAGTTTTAAATGACAAGCTCAATAAGTGAAGTTAATAGATATAAATCATCAATAATCACCATACAAAGTATAAAGAAAATGCTGCATGCTATAATATGCAATCTACTCTTTCATTAGCTAATGCGCACATAATGAACACCAAATACACACAAAAGGCAATATATATATCTTATCAAAATTTAACATGCTAAATAGGAAAGTGACGTAAGAAATACTTTTCAAAGAAAATTAAACTGAATTATTTACTCTTTACTAAAGAGTTGAGAGGTTAAGTTCTG